GGCCGCTCCGGCCGCGACGGCCACCCACCTGCCTTAATGGCGACGTCTCCTCCGCCATCACCAGCTGCGAGCGCAAGCTCCGGACCGGATCCACCAGCGTGGGATATCCCTGTTTCCCCTGGTCCGTCCGAGGTGCCGGAAACACAGCTCGAGGCTTCCCCAGATCCGGCCGACCGGCCGCAGATCCAGCAGCAATCCTGTGGCCCTCGCCCCTGTGCAACTTGTCCCCCTTGTCGTCGCCACCTAATGGCAACACATCCCCATCACACTGCCATCATCCTGTGGCCCTCGCCCCTCTCCTCTCGCCACTATTAATGCCCGCGGGTGGACTGGTCCTAAAGCATGCCGCCGATGAATTGGGTCTAGGCGGCACTGTGTTTTGAGTTTTCTCTTTAGTTTTTTGGGTTTGATCTTTTCAGAAGGCTCCTAGTAAATATTAAATGAGCTTAGGAAAATTCAAAGAACTAATTTAAACGATTTCCCACCCAAGAAAATTATATTGACCCATGTACAAGTCTAGACGATCCTAAATCACTTATCAAATTTGATCCTAAATTGGTTAAGTGTATTAATTCAAGAAATATTTTAAAAGGTCCCAATTTTGGGATGTTACAACTCATATAGCTTTTACCGTGCCCTGTATCACATTTTGTTTTGTTTGCTCGCGGTGTCCTCTGAGCTGTTTTTGGAGATGTCAGTCGTAGTTGTTGGTTGGCTTGTTTCTTTGGTCGGAGAGTTTAGCTGTGTTTCATATTTGGGTTGAGTATCTCATGTCTCTTTGTTTCATGTATCATGTTCATGCCTCTTGCGTATGTGTCATGTGTTGTACAATCTGTTGTACTCATTCTAACTCCTTCTATCAATGAAATGATACGCAAGCTTTATGTATTCACAAAAGAAAAAAGTCACAACTAATCTTCAGATTTCAAAACCATTTTACCGTATTTTGTAGCAATTGGTTCGGCATTGGATGGGGATGGAACCACGAATTCAGGGTTACCATGCTTTTTTTGCAAGATATTACCATGTATCACATCTAAATATCGATAGTCTGAAAGGTCAAAGCTGAAGTAATATTGGACACCTTAGAGCATCTATAGTTGGACGCCTCAAATCAATCTCAAACGCCCGGACAGCCCACCCGGTCACGTTTTTCTGACCCAGCCGGGCGCCTCAAACACCCCTCAAACGCCCGAGCTGTCCAGCGCCCCTCGTATCCAGCCCAAATATGGGGTGGATATGGGGCACCCAGGCATGCCTGCCATGTTGGTCCGGCCCACCCTGACCCCACTCCGTCCCAACAAATATCTCCAATCCAGAAACCCTAGCTCACTCCACTCTCGATCCGTCTCTTCTTCTTCCCTCTGATTTCTCTGATTCAATCCACTCCAACCACTCCGGTGACTGTTGCAACCATGTCGAGCGCAGGAAACCGCTCCTTCTTCGACTCTGACGAGGCCTAGCCCTCCGCAGTGCCCTCGAGAGGTCCAAGGTGAACACAGGTAGAAGTTCCGAATCGACCTCGACTCTCCCCCGCCGCCGCAGCGAGGAAACCAGCGCTGGCTCCTCCCGGCCCGGTCTTGGTGATACGCGGGCTACACAGTCCATGCCTCCCACATGCCGTCCCCTGGCCCCGCCGTCTGCTACTCCGCCACGCGGGCAGCGCTGGGTGCTTGTGCCCACCCCGCCAGCCCGAATAGGCACGCCAGAGTCAGAGGCGCGCACCGCCCGCCACGAGAGGCAGTGGGCAAGGGAGAGGGACACGACGGAGAGCACTGTCCGCCAACACCTCGGGTTACCCGTGGAGCCCAATGAGGACAAAGGGCTCCTCGCGTGGGTCTACCGCCGGTCGCCTACAACGGTGGAGACATACGCTCGGTGGCTCCGCTGGAAGAATGTGAAGGCTCTCCGACTAGCTATCGAGTAGTCTGAGCGTGAGGCCAGGGAGAATATAACAGAGGCGGCTCGGCTGGCGAAGCTCAAGCGGCAGTAGCACCGGGTCGTCCGATGCCTCAAGGGTCTCATCATCGTCTCCTCCTCCTCCGATAACAACAACGACGACGGTTCCTCGTCCGACGACTCGGACGATCCACCATCAGCCGCCGACGGCTACAGCTGCGCCTGCGACCGGACGGGAAAGGGGCCAGCCCGAAAGTGGTGAAGATCCTCTTTTCTTTACTTTAATTACAAGTTTTAGATATAGTTTAAAGTTGTTTGTCGTTCATGTGAACTTTAGTGGTCGTTTGAACATCTGATCTTTTGGTGAAAGTAATGTGCTTGCCTATGTATGTTTGCTGATCTACGTGGTTTGATCGACATTGCATGGTTTAGTATGAATATAGGGGATCAGATATGAGATACACAGATGTGGACGACGCTATTTGAGGAATTCTCGATCAGTGCCTGCGGACGCGTCTACGGGCGTTTAAGAGGTATTTGTCCTCTGTGGCTGTAGATGCTCTTAGCGCCTTAGTGTCAATCGATGCGTTGCATGTAGTTGTCAGCCTAAGAACTCAAAATTCAAAACTTGATATTTTCTTCCTCTATAAAGCTATGGTTGCGTACTCTCGAAAAAAAACCTCGACCTAGTGTTCATCATCGTATTGCCAGTCAGGATAGATGGCATGCAATGTCAGTCTCAAAAGTGAAAACTGAGGCTCGTTGATTTCACCTCCTCCCCCACCCCGTGTCGCACCTACGCAGCACTGGGGGCGAGACCGCTGCCGCACCAACCTCCACTCCCATGTGCTCCTCGCCGCCGCTGCCGCGGGCTCCTTTCGCCATGGTGGTGGTGGAGAGGCTCTTCATTGTGGCGTCTGCGGTCGTCGGGCTCAATTTGAGGCGGCGATGGTAGCTCATTGCTACTTCTTGAGCTTGCATTGATTTTTTCCTTGAAGAGGAAAGAGTGATGCAGCAAAGTAGAGATAAGTATTTACCTTAGTTAAGAACCATGGTATCAAGGAGGTACAAGAAAGTCCCCAATAGATGCACCTGCACAAACTAACGAACACTTGCACTCAACGCGAAAAAGGGGTTGTCAATCCCTTCATAGTCACAAACGAGAGTAAGATCTAATAGAGATAGATATACTCCCTCCGTTCCTTTATATAAGGTGTATTTGTTTTTTTGATGAAATTCCACAATGTAAGGTGTATTTCTTCGAAATCCTCTTAATTCCCTTTTTATCCCTCCAAAAACAGGGAAGTATCTTTATCCTGATTTCTTATATCTCTCCCTGTATCAAAAGAAGGAAACTATGTCTCTCACGATTGCATGTATATCTTACTTTCCTGGAATCACTGATTTACTTGCCACTAACCAAGAAATTTGCCAAGGGTACTTTTGTCCTAACCCCTCTATAATTGTGCGCCTTGGTCAATGTGCCCAAAATAATACACCTTACAAAAAGGAACAGACTGAGTAAAAGATAAGTAAAAGGAAAAATAAGGTAAATATAAATTACAACAAGGTATTTTTGGGTTTTTTTATTTTATAGATCTGAAAATATGTAATGAGAAATAGACTCGGGGGCCTTAGTTTTCACTAGAGGCTTCTCTCTTGAAAGAACACATATGGTGGGTGAACAAATTACTGGTGAGCAATTGATAGAAAAGTGGAAAATTATGACGATATCTAAGGTAATGATCATGAATATAGGCATCACTTCCGTGACAAGTAGGCCGACTCCTGCCTGTATCTACTATTATTACTCTACACATCGACCGCTATCGAGCATGCATCTAGTGAATTAAGTTAACAAGAACGGAGTAACACCTTAAGCAAGATGACATGATGTAGAGGGATAGATCCAATGAATATGGTAAAACCCCCAATTTTTTATCCTTAATGGCAAGAATACAAATATGTGCCTCGCTACCCTACTGTCACTGGATGAGGACACCGCAAGATTGAATCCATCACAAAGCACCTCCCCCATTGCAAGAAAAACCAATCTAGTTGACCAAACCAAATCGATAGATCAGAGAGAAATACAAAGCTATCTTAATCATGCATAAAAGAGCTGAGAGAAGACTCAAAAAATATTCATAAATAATCTGATCATAAATCCACAATTCATCAGATCTCAACAAACGCACCGCAAAAGAAGATTACACCGAATAGATCTCCAAGAACATCGAGGAGAACATTGTATTGAAGATCAAAGAGAGA